TAATTTAATATATTAATTTAATAATTTATTTTTTTACTTGTATTTCATTGAATTATCCTTCAACTTAGCTTGAGGGGTGGAATTTAATTGTTTAAACTTTTGTATTATAAGAATTTTATTATCTTACTATTCAACTATTTAAACTTTAAGTAATGCATAGGGGGATGATTTTAGGGTATTGTTTATAGTGGTAAACAATAGAAAAGCTTAGGCTTGGGAGGAATGTAAAATGGGTTGGCTTATATATTACTTTAAATAAGCCTAAGCCCATCAACCTCTTTTATTGAGCTTCTAAAAGCTTATTTTCTTAAAAATGGGTTGGCTTGAGAAGGAAGATATTGTTTATAGAGGTCAAACTTTTTGAAAGAAGCCATGACATGTCATGAATCTCAACTAGCAAGTGGGTCAAACTCAAATCCTTCTTCTTCTTCTTCTTTTCTTAATAAGAACTCGTATTGGGTTGGAATGTAACAGGTAGGATTTGAAGATCGAAGATGGAGAGTTAGGACGACTAATATAAAAAAGATGAGCTATTATGTCGAAAATATTTATGTTCGAAAAACTATTCTCTAGATACGCACAATCACAACAAAATAAAAGCAAAATAAAAAAGGATACAAAATTTAACGTGATTCGACAAGTATGTCCACGTCCACGAATAAGATCGAGAAAAAAAATTTTCTTTGTGATTAAATGATAACACGTTACCAATAAAGTTATAAGCCTTTATATAGAAAAATTACGAGAGTTTTTCACGTACAAAACTCTAGAGGATAAATACAAACTATTTTAATAAACATATAATATTCTTATAATATAGATAAGATATCTTCAGAATCAAACCACATCAACAGTTTAAGAATTAATTAGTGAAGTTTGAAGATATAAATATATTTATAGGTCGTGCACAAGCATTTGAGAGGAGTTGAAAAAAAAAAAAGAATTTTTGAGATTTTGAATAATATAAGTGAGTGGGTGACAACTACGACCCATAGTGAAGAAGTTTTTTATAATTATTTCTCCGTAATTTTTTTGGACTAACGAATTAAATGAGATAGATTTAACTCAGTTTGATTTAAAAATAATAAAAAATAATAATTTTTTATAAATAAATAATAAATATATTTAAAAAACTAATGTAATTAATGATAAAACTATAATAATAATAATAATAAATATTACAATACTAACAAATTTAATTAAAATAGTTAAACAATAAGAACCATTTGCCAGCCCAGGCCTGGTCCAAATGTCCAGTTGGGCCTACCTGACCCGACCCGACCAGGGATTGGGTTTATTCACTGGGCTGGGTCCCACACAGTATACTACGGGTTATAGAGTCAGATCGGGTCGAATTGGCCCGGCCCGATAAGGTAAATGAAAATATATTTAATTTTATTAAATGGATCTATGACCCATATGTGAGAAGCCCATATTGTTTTAAAAGCCCATTTGATGGGCTGATTTTCTTTTTTTTTTTTTAATTTTTTTATATGAAATTATATATATATATACATATATTTTTTAAATTTATATATTCTTTATATACAAAAATATATAAATTAATTAAGAATGAAGGGAATAATAGAAGAAATGATGATAACAATATGATAAAATTTAAAAAAAAATATTTCTTTTAGTGTTTTTTTAAAAACTATTTTATTTATATTTTCTCTAAAAATATGTAATCCTTCGCATACTTTTATAAAAATCTTAAGCTATAAATAAATATGTTTTTATTTATATAAAAATATTTATTTATATTTCCACTTGAATAGCAACTTCAAATATTAAGCTACATATAAAAAATATATGTTTATGAATAAATAAAATATTTATATGTTTAATAGCCATTATTCCTCCTCTAAACTTAACCCTTTAGTCAATTGTGACAAAACTTTCTATATTATATATGCTTGCTCTCCTCTTTAATCAACCTCTTAAACCCACTAATCTCTCTCTCTCTCTCTATATATATATTATATTATATTATATATATATATATCTTTTATGGGTATTTGAGAAAGATAAGAGAAAGCAACAAAAAGTAAATTCCCATGTCAATTTTATTTTTTTTTTCCCTAATATTTTTCTAGGAATTCTTAAACACAAATTTTCATTTCTCTTAAACCCATTTCCTTTATTTATTTATTTATTATGCTTAATATTTTAAAATAAAATAAAATAAAAAATTCACATAATAAAAAAAATAATACTATATATTAAAATATAATATATAGAAATGGGTGTATATTTGGTCCAACCTTGACTTTATTCTAAAAGCATTAAATGTTGAAGAAGATAAGCATATGGAGATTTTAAATAATACCGACTTGACATACCCTCTCAAATCACCATTTCTCTTTTCATGCCTGCCAACCCCATCAATGTCCTTTCATTTAAACTATCTCCTAATTCTCTAATCAAAAGAAGTAATCTAAAAAAGGGTATTTGGAATTGTTCATAATGTGCTCAATATATATATATATATATATACATATATATATACACACACACACACACATGTATTAATAAAATAATTGAATAAATTAATTAAAATTTTAAATTTCTTACTAATCCTACTAAATCAAATATTATAAACTAACTAATGTCGATTAGTAAAACACTATCGATTCGTAAAATACTCGTGACTCTTTAATGAATCAAATATTATAACTAACAACCGTTAATTAATAAATATTTGCATCTTTATACTGAATCAAAATATTATGAACCAATTACTGTAAACTAATAATAATACGCCTACGTCTTTAATCATCGTGACTCTACTAATCAAATATAATTTATTGACCGCTCTCAACCGGTAATACACGTAGCATACATTTTCAATAAAATTTAAGCTCGGTAACTTTGGAATATAATATAAAAATCTTAAACTATAATACCACCTTAGTTACTTATTTAAAACAAAAGAGTAGTTGAAAATACCCACTTGTTTTTTCAATATTATATATAAACCCTATAAATTTCTTTATTAGAAAATTGACAGGAGCAAAGAATAAGATCTGAATAGGAGGGAACTTCAATTATTACAGCAAATTTAACAACTACCCCACATCCCCCGTGTACGCACGTGTATTTGTATACATGTGCGTGTGTGTATGTATATATATATATATATATATATATCTTATCTTTTTCCTAAACCAAACACAAAGTAAACAAATAATAACCGAGAGGGTAAGAAATCTTTCACTCTCTTTTTGATCAAAAACCTGCAAAATAAAGTTCTGGTAATAAGAATCAATGAGTTAGTCAACAGTAAACCCAGTACAGGTACCTAGGAGTATCATCCACAGCAGCTTTAGATTCTCTTACAGACAATTATTGTACTCATGATCATATATTTCATTTCGTATAAGATAATATATTTTACAAAAAAGAAAAATTACTCAATGATCGAAAGACCAAACAAGTTGTGATCAAGAGACAAAACACAATATATGTTTATTTAACAAAGAAGGTGTAGTTAAAGATTATCCCACATCGGTTGGATGTTAAACTCTATATATCATTATCGTAGAGGTGGGTTTGGGTTTCGATTTTAACCCTAACCCGAAAAGAGATAAGAGCAAAATATGCATACTAGGTTAACACACGTTTCACACATGCGAGCCAACAAAACTAAAGTAGAGAATTTTTTGGGCCATGTTATGCTTGACAGAGAATGGGGTCAATCAAAGAAGTTAGATACATTGGAAGTATAGAAAAAGGACACTCCTCCATTACCCCCATACAAATATAAAAGACTTTTGGAGAGGTGGTTGGATTGCCAACTCTTACCCTTTAATTGCTCCCCCTATTATTGTGTTGATTGTGCCCTACCTTGACACCATTCCATCCATCCCTCCCTTCTATAACAAAAAGTTCCCTATCTCAATTCATATCATACTATATCTATATGCCCCCACCACATGCATCAAAATACACAAAAACTAACCCACTAGCCCCACATCAACAAAAGACTCCTCAACTAAACCATTTTCACTTTCTCCCCTCTTCTGAAATTATCCTCACAAAAAGGAAATGAATTTCACTGCTAAAGAAAAGATACAATAACATCGACCAATAGATGTGAAGATAAAGGGCAGACACATGTCTTACGTGACAGGTCTACCGACATCGAGCTGGCCCATAGTGGAGGTCTCTCATTGGGGCATATCCCAATAATTGAAAGTTATTCATACTTTGAGCTATTGTAAAATAGGAGTCATGGCTATATAAGACGTGAATGATTAATAAACTTAACTCCATGGCTGTTAAAACCCAAATTGAGAATACGGTAAAGATAAAAGAGAAAGCTAAAGCATTATCAAATCTAGGCCACATACCTTTTTCTGCTCACTTCCAGCTACAAAGTACAATATTTCACAACTGGTATCAATCCAAGTCACAACAGATATTTCCCAAAAAAGGTGAAAATATATGGTGCACAGTCATTTCTCACAATTAGCATGAAAAATCTAGCAACCTTAATTTTCCAAGTAACTTTTTCCCTCAAGGATCCAACCCAATCTAGTTGACGAGTAATGTCCTCCTTAATCTACTTTTCTATAATTATTGATTACATAACAAGACAATGCCCATCAATTTTCACCCTATTTTTAGACCAACAGCAGAAGTTAATTGTAATACGGCGATGACCTTTCAGCATTTCCTTTATCTCTAACCTCTAGCATCTCTTTCTAGCCACCAAAAATTTAGGCATCCGGAATGCATTCACGAGATGGTTGGTAAGAGCAAAGGTGGATGAGGATTAGTTTCATTTCACATAACTAAGCAACAAAATTGACGTCATTCACCATAAATATAAGGTTAGAAAAGAGCTGTTTACAAAACCTCACTACTACTATGAAGGCCCATTACATGGGACAAGAATAATCTCTGTTCCACTTAATTCCATAACGAAAAAGGCATTTTCATAAAATATGGATATGACTGGTCATGTCAGAGTAGGACAATGTTCGATATCAAATTCATTATCCTGTAATCCTCAGCTCATTTATAAATAGACCACACTAGTAAAATTGAACAGCCATCTTTAGAGATATTGGTCTCCTAATAAATATTGATTGTACATATTACAACAACATAGAAATGAACAAAAACATCTTATAATTACAATATTAGCTTATATAAAAACTTTAAGCTAGAGTCAGGCAGCTCTTCCCACCTTCAAGGTGGTTGAAAGAGATGCTAATATTACAAAAGGGAGAATGATAACTTAACTGGTTAATAGTCCAAAGACCCCACAGAAGTTATACCAGTGCTTAAATTTTTTGAATCCTGCCGGCTACCGTAGTCATCACAGCTACCATTAGAGAGCCTCTGAACTGGGACTGAGTTCAGAAGTTCTATGCCTCGTTTTCCCATTTGTTGTACCTCTTGTGGTGAGAGTATCTTTATACACCACACGGTGTTCACAAACTCCCTGGTTAAGAAGTGAGTGAAAAACAAAAAATTCAGATAATCAAAGACTAAAAGGAAATATACACAATTTCTGCGACATATGAAAGCATTCTGCAGCTGAAAGATAACCCCAAGTGTTATCTATATATATACAAACATCTACATGTATACCCCAATAACTACTTATTTCTCAACTATTTAAAAAACGAGAAATTAGTTAACATGGTATATATCCCTCTCTTTACTTTTTTTATGAAAGTAGACAATTTTTTTTCATCAAACTGTTTGAGAATTCAAGTGACATCCTGGACTTTAAGATGCAAAAGATTTCCTAACCATTATAAGTAAGAGACTACACTTATGCAGTCAGTATGCCACTAGCTAAGAACTAAAATCAGTAAAGATGAAACTCACGGCCAGGGGTCATCGCCAAGGAGAAGAACATCATTCTCCCGGTCAACAAATACAAGCTGCCAGCCTGATCTCCGAGGGTCCTCTAACTGGCCTTCAAGGCCAAACATGCGAGCAAGTTCACTGCGCAGCTCCTGGTAGCTGCTAAATTTGGTTATATCCAGTGACCTCCCAAAGGACCCTGACTTGTAAACCTGTCAACAGTTGTAATTTGATCAGTATGAAGAGAAGACATGAAGCCTTTTAGTAGATACTAAAAAAATTATATAGAAACAAACATAATAATGACACAAAAGTGAAGAAAAAATACAGCTAACCTTAACAAAGGTTCTAGTTGGTGGGTTTGCTTGACCCACATTTTCTGGGGACTGCAGAAAACTTGATTCATCAATGCAACTTGAAGGTGTCATTGCTGGATTAGCAGAAAAATCACTGCCTGCAGTACTCATATAATTCGAAGAAGAGAAGGGTATTGTTGTGGACTCACTGTCAATACCAACTCCCCTCAGGTTTGACATTCCATTTTGCATCAGAAGAGATGAGGGCTCTATATTAACACCAAATAAAAGGTGGCTCTGTGGATCAGTGCTTCCTTCCTGGTCAATGGAGCACTCCCTACCAGGAAAAGGTGGCAATGAAATGGAATTCTGAGACATTGTAGTATGCGCTGGAGGAGCCAACTGCTCCACTTGGGGAATAACACATTGAAGCGCACCAGAGGGAAGAAGTGGCTCAACTGCTGCTCTCTTCGATGGCCAAGCAGATGAACTTATCAAAGGGTTGGTTCTAGGTAAGTTGAGAAGTTGAGATGACTCATCCTGTGGGAATGAGCCCAATAGACTGTGAAGTGGAGACACAATGGAACTTGTCACCGGGTTCCCGTTCGAATCAGAAAAACTTTGTTGTTGGCACAGTGAGGTGATTGCTTGTAAAGGTGATGACTGGGATTGGGAAACTGAAGAAAATGTGGACATGGACATGGCAGAG